GATTTCATTTATAGCATTTAGTTCTTCCCGCGATTCCTGACTCCTAAAGGATTCTTTTAGCTTAAGTTCGATGCTTGCAATTTCTCTGACCAGTGTCTCCCTGCGCATTTCAGATATATTGACCTCTTTTAGCCGCTCTGTTATTCTTTTCCGTCGCCTGTAAAGGGAGCGCCTGTCTCTTTCTATTTTACATCTACTCCTCCTTTAGGAAGTATTTCTTCAGCCACAGAGTAGTCAGTAAGTGGAATAGTTTGGGAAGCGATGTAGTGGAGGCAGGATCCATACATAGCTTTAAGCAGAGGTATGATAAAGCTCACGGCTCAGGGAGAGTGACCTAGTAGCGATCAGTGAAGAGGCGGGGCCAGGAGCTCGGACTCGACCCCCGCAACCTCAACTAGGTGAGTACAACTAGGTGAGTACACACACACACACACACACACACACACACACACACACACACACACACACACACACACACACACACACACACACACACACACATGCACATATGTGGTAATGCTTTATTTACAGCTAGCAAAGTCAGGGTATTTCTCCAGAATGATCTGTAATATACCACTGTGGATAAAATACTTAGCCATTTCTTGAACACTTCTGAGTGAGTTGTTTCTAAATTCATTAATTTTATCGCACTCCAGTACATAATGACGCAGGGTGTGACAATAATCCATCTGGCAAAGTTTACATTTCGTTTGGTCTACATCTGGTGGTGGTGATTATAAGATCAGATTTACTGTGATGTTACCTGTACTCAAGGTCATATCGGAACTAGTGTTTCTCTGATATTGCAATGTTTTTCTTTATTTTTCAAGTTTTTTTTTTTTGTTTTGTTTTTGCATTGTTGAAAATGAATAAATGTAGGATCTGTTGGTTGTACTCAAAGTAGTATTTGCGTTTATGTTTCCTCAATATTACTACGATTATTTATTTTATCATTAATAAAGTTGAGAAGTATTCTCCTGTTCAGTTTATGGCCCTTAAACGTTCTCATTGTTAAACATTAGTCACTGGTCATTACCTGGAGTTCATTACCTTTGTAAATTGTGAGTTCATTACCTTTGTAAATTGTGAGTTCATTACCTTTGTAAATTGTGAGTTCATTACCTCTGTAACTTGCTCAGCTATCAAAACTTTGGAGTCCAGTCCCTGGACCAATTATGTACCTCTGTAATCTTTTGACTACCGCCCACAGGATGGGTATGGGGTGCATAATAAACATATTAAACTAACAACTAACTCATGCAGTAGTGACATAACTGGATTTTACCCCACCCCCATTCCCCCGCCTTGAATTTCATGGGGGTGACACCAAAGATGCTGCCCCGGGTGACACCAGAGATTCTGCCCCGGGTGACACCAGATTATTATTATAATCAAAAAGAAGCGCTAAGCCACAAGGGCTATACAGCGCTGCAGGGCAGGAAGGAAGCGAGGGCATCAGGTGGCAAAAGGGAGATGGATGAGTAATAGGTTACGGGTGACACCAGAGATTCTGCCCCGGGTGACACCAACTCTAGCGACGCCTCTGCTGGTTGATCAGGCCCTGATCCACCATGAGGCCTGGTCAAAGACCGGGCCGCGGGGGCGTTGACCCCCGAAGCCCTCTCCAGGTATTCTCCAGATATTTGGTTGCAGGGGCCCAGTCAAAGCTCCTGGTCCCGCCTCGTCGAGGGTCCGTGTGTGTGTGTGCGCGTTATTTACTTGGCACGCTAAAGAAATTACGATGGTCTACCCAGCAGATTTATTGCAATTACTGACAGTTTGTGATATTTTTTGTTAGCGTTTACGAAATATGTTGACCGGTGATTTTGAAGGATTGTCCGATGGTGTGGTTGTGGTTGTCTTATGGTGTAACCATGCGTGTCTGGTGTAACTGGTTGTCTGCTGGTGTAACTGTGGTTGTATGCTCGTGTAACTGTGGTTGTCTGCTGGTGTAACTGTGGTTATCTGCTGGTGTAACTGTGGTTGTCTGCTGGTGTAACTGTGGTTATCTGCTGGTGTAACTGTGGTTGTCTGCTGGTGTATCTGTGGTTATCTGCTGGTGTAACTGTGGTTGTCTGTTATTGTAACTGTGGTTGTCTGCCGGTTTAACTGGTGGTCTGCTGGTGTGGTTGTCTTCTAGTGTAACCAATATTCAATACACTAAACCTACTCACCATACAAAACATCCATACTTATTACTGCACCTATTACATACATAGAACACTTAACTCTGACATTAACCCTCCCCTCAAACATCTCCTTGCCAACCTCAACAGAACACATGACCATAACACAGGCACAGATCACTCTTTGATGTTCCTCGTGTCCATCTCACACTATGCAAAAACTCAATGCACATAAAAGGCTCTAAAATCTGGAATTCATTACCTGTAAATATAAAAGAAACACTACCTGTTTATAAATTCAAGTCTCTTCTCAAAGATCACTTACTCACCCAAAACCAAATAAATACTGAATAACTGAACCTTATAAATTATATATCTTAAATGTTTCTCACAATTATATCACATAAATGTTAAACCTAAAACCCAATCTAACTTTATTATTTTTTAAATACACTACCTAACAGAATACTCCATACGACTGAATGTACAACAATGCATGCAACCATATGACCTGTCTTTGTAATACTCATTTGTGCTTTATAGTTATCTGTTTACAATAATGTATTATCACTGATTTCATCATTGCTTAGTTAATTTTAAGCCAGCCCGAAATGCTATGCATAGTATAAGTGGCTTTGGCATGCTGCTCTTATCTGTATTTTTTGTACCTCTGTATGTATGCTCAAATTGTAAATAAATAAATACATAAATAAAAAAAACTGTGGTCGTCTGCTGGTGTAACTATGGGTGTCTTGCGATTTAACTGGTTGTCTGATGGTATGATTGTGGTTGTCTTCTGGTGTAACTGTGGTTGCCTGCCGGTTTAACTGTGTGGAAAATTGCATTTATCTGAATGTATAATTATGTACATAACAGTAAATGAACAATGATAACTATTATTTATCAGTTAGACAAGTAGGAATTTGGGACACCTAGGTCGCAAAAAATGTCCCCCTTCGATACCTACCACTGTCATATCCACAAGTTGCTCTGGACCTATAAATTATAAATGAAATATACATCACCAGGAATGCTGGTAAATATATAAATTTGTGGACTATATTAAAAAATATATATAAATTCATATACATAACAGAAGGAAAATATATCTTAATATCACTCACCAATTTGACTGGATATTAAGTTGTATCATACTCAGAAAAACCTCACTAACTAAATTTATGAAAACACTGGCCAGAATTATATACAAATCTAGAGAGCTTATCTGAGGTTCATGGAGCTGTCTTGTCCAGTCGTCTGATATCTCAAGTTATGCAGGAATGCACATCCAACAATTTCGCCTCCTATTTGAGAGGTGTCAATCCAATTTTAACCTCTCAGAGCACGAAAAATTCTTCCCATTATATTAACGTTGTATCCAATTCAAAACCAAGATGGCGAGAGTCCTGTCTGCGCAGACGCAGGCTTTCCGTTTTCTATGACAAATATTATTAAATACAGTATGGCCATCTATTTACATATAAATACTGAATTTCTGGAAAATATATACAGTATTTTCCACAAACTGGTTATCTGCTGGTTTAACTGTGGTTGTCTGCTGGTTTAACTGTTATCTGCTGTTTAACTGTGGTTATCTGTTGGTTTCACTGTGGTTGTCTGCCGGTTTAACTGGTTATCTGCTGGTTTAACTGTGGTTGTCTGCCGGCTTAACTTATCTGCTGGTTTAACTGTGGTTGTCTGCTGGTTTAACTGTGGTTGTCTGCTGGTTTAACTGTGGTTGTCTACCGGTGTAACTGTGGTCGTGGATATTTTTGATGTAAAATGTTCTTTTAATAAAATACATGAAGATAATAAAATAATAATATAAATAATAATTTTAGTAGTAGTAATAATTATATTTGCATGTTAGTGTCGTTTTTCTTAGCTTGATGTAATGTTTATAGTTAAAGTTTTTTTGTTTTGTGGTATTTAGTGTTATTATGTGGTTGATAAAGTTAAGGCAGCAGCAGCAGCAGCAGCAGCAGCAGTCCTGGGCAACAGCAGTCCTGGACGACAGCCAGCACCAGCAGCTTCACAGTTCTATTACTGTAATATTAGTTATTACACACTTCCCAGGTCACTACTCCCTCACGTCTCAGGTCATTAATGTCTGCTGCATTTCCTTAATATAAACCTAGTGTGTTACACTCTCTGGAGTGTAGGTTTTATGTGTTAAAACACATGTTAGAAGGTTTTTTTTTTCAGGAATACGTGCAGTTTGCCAGGTTTATTAAGTCCAGTTACAGCCTTGGGATGATAAATGTTGTTTTATATAAATATTTGTGTAAATTACCAATGATAACCACAGAAAAGAGGTTAAACAAAGCTACGTAATTGTTATATTGTGGGTGTTTTTAGCACAAGTAATTGTTATATTGTGTTTTTGGCCTACATGTAAATTTTCAACATTGATGTTGAAGTGGAGAAGTGTTATTGACAGATATAAGTATATTACACAGATTTAACCCAGGATAACCCAGTGAAACATTGTGACTCATTTAGTGTTCCTGTTGCTAGGAACCCTAATGGAAATACGTTCAAGTACAGTTACATAATTTTAGATGAAAAAAAATTGTTTTACATAGTAACAAATGTATACATTACGCAGGGTAACCTTCCAAAAAAATCCAAATTACTTTTTTTTCCATTGTTTACCTTAAAGTGGGTTATCCATGGTTAAATCTTCATAATGTGCGTTTTATGTACCCATCTCATCTGAGTGTCCTCAAAGCCATTGTAAATATTTCTTTATGTTATTGTTATAATATACAGATAGAAAACAGTAAACACCATCAATAACCTCAAACTTCAATAAGGAAGCTGTTTCTGTGCATTAAAGTCTGTCAGTCAGGTTCACCTGGTGGGGCTGTCTGTCACCTGTATCTAAATATGCCAGTTTATTTAGGTACTAGTACACACAAGTATATTTATCATATATAGTGTAAATTGTAAGGTAAGTGGACACAAATGCTGCTAATGTGATATTTTGGCAATTTTTTGCTCTTCAGGAGAGAAAAATGTTACCACAATAAAATGTCACATTAGTTGTGTCTGTGTCCATTAACCTAACATTTTGTTGATAATTCTACTATTATTACATAGTGTAAATTACCTAGGATAACCCAAAAAAATCAGTGACATTTCCATTGGGGTCCTTAGGTACATAGTGTCTTTTTTTTTTTTTTGTTTCTTTTGTCTATGTAAACTAGCATTTGATTATGAATATTATTGTCAGGTTGAGAACTTTAGGTAGCTTGAAATGTAAGTTAGATGGATATTTGAGTGGTCATGGTTGGGTGCAAGTCAGACCTGCCTAGGCCTCCTGCAGTGTTCCTTCATTCTTACGTTCTTATTTGATTACAGTATTATGTTTAGTTGTAGATTTATACAATATTTATGAAAATTGTAGCAAAGAACAATTTTATGAAGGTTAATTTATTATTGCAGGTAGTGGTATGGAACTTAAGTCAAAACAAAAGTACATTGATTTGTAACAAAAATGGTTTTAAGCATGGTAAAATATTGCACATAAAACCTATGTCATTCAGTTATCAGTGTTTATTTAGGCAATCAGCACTAATAATATGGTATTAGATTTTTTCAATGGCACACTGATGATATTAGCACTCGTATATGTACATTATTACATTATGTTGATTTAACCTAGGATGATCCAGTAAAGTTAGATAATTTGACCTATTTCCATTCCCCTTGATGCTGGTGAGGGGCTCTTGAGGCAAGTAATTGCACTTGTCCTTCCCTTCCTTGGATCAAACCAAATTGTCTTCCATTTCTTAGGCCCTACAAGACCTCTGTGGGTTTAGGATTTTCATCTCAATATACAGGAATTATAATGTGGTATATTGACAAGCTATAAAAATCGTGGTATAATCTCGGATGTTTAAATTTAGTGAAACCTCTATTTAATAGGCTGATAAGGCCAGTGAGTCTGGTAATACTCAGTGTTAAATCCAAATGATGAGATTCTTTTTTTGTGATTATTACAATGGCAGAGAATCCCAGAAACAATGTACTGTGTTAAATTCAAGAATGATTTGCCCATTGAACCATGACAATAACAGACAATTCAACAACAGACTGTTTGGACAACAAATTTTGTTCTTTTAACCCTTAAACGGTCCAAACGTATATATACATTCACTCGCGCAGCGCCCCTAATTTTTTGAGAATTTTTTTTTTTTTTATATATATAGGAAAAATAGAGCATGTGGTACCCGGGCGTCCCCAATTTTTTTCATATGGCGCACACTGAGTGCACAAACCCATTCTCTCATGTCTAGGTGACTCAGGCATATCGTGCCAATGATGATATCAGGCATATAGTGCCAATGTTGAATGAATGACAAAGGAAACGTATACGTATATACATTTGGGGCGCTATGTGAGAGAACGTATATATACATTTGGACCGTTTATGGGTTAATGTTTGCTCTAAAAAAAGTTTAACTCGGAATAACCTTCCTCTAATTACATATAGTTCTCCAATGTTAAAAATTGGAAGCCAATTGGACTAGGTGTGTTAAAAAAAAAATAATGATAACCAAAATAATATAATAATATCTGTATTTACTACGAGTACATGTACAAGGTATACAGGCCTAGCTGACATCAATGACATACTATTATATAGAAAACCTCTTGTTTTGCTGAGCATTTCGGGCAAATTAGGTCAGTTTTGTCCCAGGATGCGACCCACACCAGTCGACTAACACCCAGGTACCCATTTTATTGATGAGTGAACATAGACAACTGGTGTAAGGAAACACGTCCAATGTTTCAACCCCTTCACCGGGAATCGAACCCGAACGCTTGCCATGTGAAGCGAAAGCTTTCGCCACCAGGCTTGTTACCAAACACAACACATAACTTACATGCATCTAATACTGAGTTTGTTAAAGAGCTCTGGGTACTGGTGATTATGAATATTGCAGAGCAAAATAATCAAATACATATATGTGTAATTTGGAGATTAGTTTCAGTATTGTACTAATACAGGGCTTACATGTAAACACTGAAATGGTAACTCAGCCAGTGTGTAGAATACATGAAAATAACCATTATATTTCTGTATTTCTAAGATTTTTTTATTTTGAGAGGTAATGGTATTTATGTACTACAGTACTGCTTATCCTCACTTAGCGACGTACTCGTTTACTGACGGCTCAGACTTGCAACAGGCTCTCTGCTGTATAAACATTTAAAAATATACCAGACATGTTATAAATGGTGCAAAGGTGACATTAAAACAGTATCAAAGATGGTTGACACAAACCCACTACCATTATAGTAGTAAGCTTCTCGCTTAGCGACGAATTCATTTACTGACGTGGTCTTAGGAAAAGAACTCCATCGTTAAGTGAAAAGAGGCTGTACTTTCATTTTCATTTAAATTATCTATGCTGTGGGAAGCCTTTCTAGACTTGCCTAGTCTAGTAGTGCACAAACAGGATTTATATTCTTGCTTTTATTGTAATATCTCATTGTTTTCAGAGTTTTGCTTTAAGGCAGAGGATACAATGTTCCGTGTAACACCAAACTTGGCTCGCCTTGCTTCATTAGGTATACGGCAGCATCATGTCTCTGTTACCAAGTAGGTTTTTAATAGCAATAGTGTTTTCTTACTGACTTGTTGTTATAGAAAATTTTTGATTGCCTTCAAATTTCTTTTTGAGGCTTTTCTTTAATTTGTGTTAGGATCATATCATCTTGTAAAATATGAGGGTATATACACTAAGTGCTTGTATATCTACAGTATTTATACATGGCACAATACCATGACTGGAACACTATACAAATAACCCACACATAGGAGAGAAAAAAGCTTAAGACAACATTTCACTCTGACTTCGCCCATTCACAAGTCACACTGACAGAAGAGAATGAATGAGCATTACCACTACCATTACTTCTTTTTCTTCCTCTCTCTGTCCCATCCCTGTCCCTGTTACCTATATATACTGGCTCACTCATTCTCTTCAGTCACTGTGACTTGTGAATGGTTCCAGTTGGACCAAAATGTTGTTATAAGCTTTTCTCTCTCCTGTGTGTGGGCGGGTTATTTGTGTATGGCACTATTCAGAAATTGTGGTACATTATTCCCAGTTTCATGAATTACAATATATTTGTACAGTAGCACGTTTAACCCTTTCACTGTCCAAACCCCAAAAATTAATATTTCTCAGTGTCCACTTTAAAAAAAAAAAATCTGAAATTGTAGAGAATCTTCGGAATGTAATGACACCATAAATGTGAAATTTGATGGAAAACTTAGGTGCAAAGTTAGTGCTCCAGGTGCAGTTCATGCTTCACTCATTTTGAGTCCTATTTTAAACCAGTTTCATTGCTCCTTTTGACTTAGTATGTACAGGAAACCAAACCACTCATTAGGCTATTACAGCTATTCTATAAAGTGCAAAGAAGTCAATAATAATTTGGCCAATTTTACATAAAATTGGAAAAAATAACAATTTAAAAGTAGTCCAAAATAAACAATGTGGACATTCCTGTCGCTAAAATATTTCCTCAGTTCATTAATCATGTCCCCAGGCCTCTACTTTATAACACTTACCTTTCATTTTGAATTCATAATAACACAAAAATGGAAGATTTACTCTATTTCTTGGATAATAAAATTTAACCAAAAATGATTGGTCATGGTTTATAGTATCCCAATAATTGAATCAGACCTATTAAAAACTCATAAAGCACACCAGGGAGTGTAGGGAGGCCTTGCCTGTCCTCAAGAAAATCAGCAATAATCTAATACCTATTCCTGCTACTTTGAGCTCAATTTCAGGCTATTTCCAGTCCTGAAACCAACCAAAATCTTTATTTCAGTAGCATGTCTTCGTTTCTATGAAATGATACTGAGAAACTGCCAATAAAACGATAAAAATCATCCAAGAAAACACCTCAAAGTTGCTGTTTAAAACAAAGCACACAGTGAGGCAGGATTTTTTTCATACTAGTCACAGACCTGGCTGTGGAGGCATTGATCCTCAAACTCCTCTCTAGGTATACACTCACCACACAGACCCATTCTCTCATATCTAGTCCAAAATTTACTGCTCACAGCTTTTCTGAATGAGCTGAGTTCATGACATAGAACTACGTTAGCGACCCTGGCCTCAAAGACATAGTTCTACACGATGACTACCAAAAGGGTTAAGACACATGAGCAACTTTATTTAGAAGAAGTTTTGTCAACCAGTGGCTTTATCAGTTCAATACAGAGAACACTAACCGAGTAGATGCCCAAGGATGCAGGCCTATGTACGTACTAGAGACAGTGGAGGTAAAGCAGCTTGAAGATGGCCTTACAGGTGAGCGAAGTCTATTACTGGAAGTAGGTCATGCCAATAGGTTTGGCAAGTGTAAAGCTGTGGAAGAATTCCCTGTACAAAGATTCAAAGATACACTGTGTCAGACAAAATATTGTATTAATGGTTTATGAAACCAAGTAGATGAACAAGACACGTGTGCAACACTAGGGTATCTTTATTTAGGAGATGTTTTGCCAACTAGTGGCTTTATCAATGCTAACTAAAGATACCCAAGTGTTGTACATATCTTAGTCATCTACTTGTTTGTTTCATAAACCATTAATCTTGGAATCTTTGTACAGAGAATTCTTCCACAACTCTATGCTTGCTAAATCTATTTGCATGATCTATTTCCACTTATGGACTCTCTTCACCTGTGATGCCATCGTTGAGCTGTTTCACCTCTACTGTCTGTAATAAGCCTGCATCCTTGGACATCTTTAAATTCATCAAGACTGGTGGACTGAACACCACCATCTAGCAAGGTTGAGTGAGTAATCACCTCAAACTACTGCTTCGTGTTTTCACCATCTACAGGATTGTTCTCTGTATTCGACTGATAAAGCCACTGGCTGGTGAATCGTCTCTTGCAGAGATACCCAAGTATTAAATGTCTTATTCACCCGCTTGCTGATTTAGCAAACTATTAATACAATGCATTACAGTATGTTTCTAGATAAACCTCAGTATTGTACAGTATAAGAGGGTCCCCATCTTGTGAAAGAATTGTTTTTCTCATGTTTCAACTTAAGAGCAAATTATTTGTAACCCTGTACCTATTATCCTATAGATAATGGTAATCTAAAGGATAATTATGTCACACATTTTTGCATTGCAGATCAGCATTCAAAAAATAGATGTCTTTTGGACTTTGTTCATAAGTATGGATCATTGTAATGGATTTTTGCAAGTTATGGGCCACATACATCTGCTTTATCAGATTAAAGTCTTGTGAACTGTATCCATGAGTATGTACTGTACACTACACAAATAACCCGCACATAGAGAGAGGAGCTTATGACGACGTTTCAGTCTGACTTAGACCATTTACATAGTCACACTAACAGAAAGGAGAGGAGACAGTGTATATATAGGCCAGCTGGCCTATGCTATACAGTATATATAGGCTAGCTGGCCTATATACATGTATACTGCCACCGCCTCTCCTTTCTATTATTGTGACATAAATGGTCCAAGTCAGACCAAAACATCGTCGTAAGTTCCTCTCTCTATGTGCGGGTTATTTGTATTGTTTCAGTCATGATATTGTGCCTTTTTGTTCCTTACTGTATACTGTTCCATGAACCAAAATACTAATTGCAACCTGTTTTTATAGCTTCTATAATACTGGTAATAGGCTCAAACATGACTTTTCACCCAGTTAGTCCTCTCTTATTTCATGCAAGTAAATTGTCATTCACATACAGGCATCTCGTGTCACTCTCCCTCAACTTGCCCCACCACAGTACAGTGCTATTTATTTTCTTTTTATCCCAGGTATTCATGTGGTCAGAGATGGCAGTCAACATCAGCAGTAGCAGCCACATCCTCTGCAGAGCCCTTGAGTAACAGAACCCCTGCTGAAGACCTACGTGCAGTTCAGAGTACATACAGCTTCAATGTCCAAGCCATGACCACACTACTTGATCACGATAATCATGAGATGAGGGCCAAGTTTCGGTAGGAGCTATTTTAAATTTTAATACTTTAATGATGAACCCAGTCTCCACACTAAGTAGGGGTAGGTTCCTTCAATGCTGGTGAGGGGCTCCTGATCTAAGGAGTTGGACCTTTGCTCAAGTTCCTTGAATTGACCTTGAATAACTTCCATTCTCCAAGACTACATGACCTCTACAGGCTTATCACTCTCCCCCATGAATGACTGATAATTTGAAAGTGAACTTTGTCACTGCCTTGCTAGCTGGTTTAATTCTTAAACTGTGAAAAGGAGATTACTTTTATAGTTCTGTACATTGTACTGTACTTGAAAAGGCCCACTTATGGGTGAAATGTTGTACCAGTAAAGGTTTTCACTGCAGTTAGTGTCATCTGATGATAATAACACAGTACAACATAATAATACATAATTGTGCTAGTCTTTATATTTTTATTTACATACAATATATCGAAAGGCGCTCTATACACCTCTGCAATTTCATGCTAAATCAAGTTTTAATTCAGCATCCTCATTGATATGTTAGGCTAGTGTTTACTGTATGTAATTATAAGGGAAATGATATTTCAGGAAATTTATGAGTGACCCAGTTATGATTCCACGCTACAATATTCCTCTGGATGTGGAACGGGATATGGCTCTTGCTCGGCTTAAGCGCATCTGTGATGCAGGATTTATCTCAGTGCTCGACTTTCGTAATAATCCTCTCCGTATTTTTGCTGCTCACGAACTTGCCGCCATTATTGATCCTGCAATGACAACCAAGATGACGGTGCAGGTACATATAATGCTCTTACTATTGTAACTCTTTTTAAGATCTGTAGTCTCGAGTTTCTTGTAATCTGAAGTATGTTTTACATATACTGTACTACCATCCAGTCATAAGAGTGTGGAACAGAAATCTATTAAATGTTTTGCATTCTGGTAGGATTACTGGCTTTATTCTTGCAGATGCATATAGTACACATTTAACTTCATTTTTCTTTGTATCTTGAACAGTTCCTGTTCCTGTAATATTTAATTTAACAATACAGAGTATGTTGCCTGACCTGAGACTGGGCAACAGAGGTGATGATTACTGAATGCATTAACAAATTATTCTGTTGATAGTTCTTAAAGTATAAAGTACATGACACCACAAACAGTTGCACTGCCAACACTATGAGATAGACTGGTAATAACATCAGGTATATAAAACACTTCATGTGGAGTTGTACATGAATGTTATACAGAATTGACAAGATGAAAATTAGACACATGCTCAACATCTGGTTATCTTTTTTGTAGACATTTTGCCATCCAGTGGCTTTATCCATACAGATTTTAGGACATAACTTGAAGACGGTAGAACTATATACAAAAGATGAGGTAATCAATCCCTCAGCCTTGGAGTTGCTGTGAAGAGCACCATAGTTGTGGAGATTGTGGAGCATAGACAAGGAGGCTGGCGCTTATACAGTGGACCCCCGGTTCACGATATTAATCCGTTCCTGAGAGCTCATCGTAAACCAAAATTATCGGAAAGCGAATCAATTTTCCCCATAAGAAATAATGGAAATCAAATTAATCTGTGCAAGACACCCAAAAGTATGAAAAAAAAACTTTTACCACATGAAATATTAAGCTTAATGCAATAGAATAATTACAATAACAATAGACTAATAACAATAGAATAATTGACACTTACCTTTAATGAAGATCTGGTGGTGATTGATGGGATGGGAGGAGGGGAGTGTGTTGAACCTATTGTTTAGAAGGGGAATCCCCCTCCATTAGGACTTGAGGTAGCAAGTCCTAATGAGTAATGTAGGTCCTGCTTGGCAATATCTTCCAAAACAGGCCTGTTTCGTCACAATTAAACACTTGTTCAGGTTTCAATCCTTCAGCCTCTATGTACTCCTTGAATTCATGCACATATTTTTCAGCTGCTTTGTGGTCTGAACTGGCAGCCTCACCATGCCTAATCACACTATGTATGCCACTACGATTCTTAAATCTTTCAAACCAACCTTTGCTGGCCTTAAATTCACTCACATCACTACTAGTTGCAGGCAATTTCTTTACCAAATCGTCATGCAACTGCTTAGCCTTTTCACAAATGATCGCTTGAGAGATGCTATCTCCTGCTATCTGTTTTTCATTTATCCACACCAATAACAGTCTCTCAACATTTTCTAACACTTGCGGTCGCTGTTTCGTAATCACAGTTGCACCTTTTGCAAGAACAGCTTCCTTGATTGCCGTTTTCCTGCTCACTATAGTAGAGATGGTTGATTGGGGTTTACTATACAACCTGACCAGCTCCGACACACGCACTCCACTTTCATACTTTGCAATTATCTCTCTTCATTTCAATAGTCATTAGCACCCTTTGTCTCGAAGGGTTGGCACTAGAAGCTTTCTTGGGGCCCATGGTGACTTATTTTGCAGAAAAAAGCACCAAAAACAGTGATAATATGGATAATATAGAATGTACTGAATGTATCCTTAGATGTGCGCACACTGGCTGGCTTGTAAACACTGGACACGTCTTGTATGAATCGTATCGCATACCGGGTTTTGTAACGGGAACCGAGGCAAATTTTCTGCGATATAATGCATCGGTTACCGGATTTATCGGATACCGATAGCATCGCGAACCGGGGATCCACTGTATAGGCGGCTAGTGGATAGGGACGGGTAGCAGATGAGGGCATAGTCACTGGTAGGCAGGATTCCCCAGTGGAAGTAAGTTATACCCAAAATCACATAAAAGTCTGATAACATGTTTATGCTATCATGTATTAAGTGAGCAATACAGCTAGGCGTAAAATATGCATGTACAGTACATACATTACTTATCTTAAAATATTTTCATCCTTAACTTATGGCAAGTGGTGAATATATTTACTGTAGGAAATCTGAATAACCAAAAATTATGAAAAAACTTAACATTATGAAAAATAACTAAAAATTGTGAAAAAAGAATGGGTATAATTGAAAATTGCTGTATTAGCAAAACTCCATAAAGAGAGGTGCTGTAAAGTGGGGCCCTCCTGTATATAAAGTGTGTGGGCTTTGATATGTTTGTGAAGTCCTGAATATATTCCTGTAGTTTGAATAAGGATATTACAAATAGAATAGTATAAAATATAATAAAAATGAAGCTTAGAAAAACAGAGAGAACAGGAATGCTCTTGTACAGTGTCTGCATCATTCATCAAAATAATTGCAATCATAAAATATGATGAAGTCAGACTCGTCATCAGGGAAGAACAACTAACCAGATGACATTGTCTGAAAAGTGCTTTGATTGCAAACACCAACACTGTTGCCTAGAACACTGTCAGTTTTATAATTTCAGAAGTCTTCAACAAATTAAATAATTCTTTACCAAGAGGACACCATGATCACTTAATAGTTGGAGTTTTGGGGCATTGTAGTGGGTCTACTGACCCATACCAACCCAGTCCCTCAACCCCCCCTGCTTCACAGCTGTACTGGTGTTCCCTGTTTGCACCTCAGCCCTTCCACTGTATAAATTCCTGCAGTTAGCTCTGTAGGATTGAAGCCATTCATGGCAAAACAACTTCCTCGTTAAATTATCCTAACACTGCATATGTCTTATTATACATTTGTCAGTATGTTATACCATTTCTTGCCCATAAATCTGACAAAATTTGTGCATTTATAATTTCAATACTTTCAGTTCAATTTGTTTGGAGGCACAGTTTTAAAACTGGGCACAGAACGACACCATAAAAAGCTTCTTGCTGGTATTGATAGCTTGAAAGATATTGGATGCTTTGGCCTGACAGAACTGGGCTATGGCAACAATGCTGTGGAGATGGAAACAACAGCTGTGTTTGACAAGGAAACAGGTGAAGTGCTAACATTTTTCTTAAAAAAAATTGCTACTTTATAGGACTCTTTCTTCACTTCTTTCTTAGTTTTTAGCTATAGTTTCATTCTTGTTTTCCCTCTTAACTGTTTGTGGGGCAAGCGCTCCAAATGAGCCCTTAAAAAGCATGCGTTTAGGTCATTAAAGGTATTAGGAATTTTTTCTTTCATATCTTTTGTAATGTTATATGTGATTATCGTGCCAACATTTATGCCTGTCAGCCAGAGGGCATAGTTGTTGGTTTCAGTCTTTTATCATAATCTATTTTTTTCTTTAGCTCTTAACCCTTTGACTGTTGAGACCCCAAATCCTGAAGTGTCTCTGTGTCACAAAATATTCAATTTTTTTTTTCTCACGAAATGAGAGAGAATCTTTTCCCGATGGTAATGACACCAAAAGTGCGAAATTTGATGGAAAACTTACAGAATTACGTTCTCGCGAAGTTAGCGATCTCAGTAATATACATGCATCGGCAATTTTGCCCACTTTGAGCACTATTTTCGGCCAATTCCATTGTTCCAGTCAACCAAACTCATAGCTATTTCTTTAGAACTTCATTTGTTCTATCAATTGAGTACAAGAAACTGCCCATTTACCAATTTCAACTACCCAATAAAGTGGTCAGAAATTGGCAATTTAGCCAATTTCACGCAAATTAAAAAAGATGCCAATTTCAAAATAGGGTCCAGAATAAACAGTGCAGACATTCCTGGCACTAAAATAACATTTTCTCTGTTCATTAGTCACGTCTCCAGGCCCCTTTTATATTACTCTTGCTTTCTGTTATGAATTTTTATTCACACAAAAAATTGAAGATTTACTGTTACGAAGACTACTGCATTATTGTAATAATTGTATAAACAATGTCAACCCATTCATGACTGTGTATTAGACTGGCCAGTTGGACATGTATTGGACGGTGACATCATTTGTTTACTCTTTAACATTGGCAAAAATAGAACATTTCTGCTATTTGAGCTCAATTTCAAGGTCCTTTTCATCGTGAAATCAATTGAAATCATCTCTATTTCTGTAATATATCTTCCATTCTATCAGATGAGACCAAGAAAACGAGAATACAACCATAAATACTATATGAAAATACGTACACCTCAAAGTCAGCGTTTTAATCCAAAAACACGGTCAGTTTTCTTTTTCTCATTATGCACTGCATGCTGCAGGATTTTTTTTATACCGCTCACACTGACCCCACACACCCATTCTCTCACATGTGGGCCTACCAGCTTTCTCCCACTTGATTTGAAGCGTATTAATAAGTCAAAAACACTGGCTCGTAAGACGTATACATGTATATATGACACCAACAGTCAAAAGGTTAAGATCCATTTTGTTAACTTCTCAAACAATAAACTACTGTGCAGTTCTGTATGACCCAGGTGGGTTTAGTGCTTCTTTTTTTGCACTTTAACGGAGGGGTTTGGGATATTGGCTGTTTGGAGTGACGTCTAAACTGTCATGTCTGGGCACCTCTGCAAAGACAGTGATTATGTGTGAATGATGGTGAAAGTATTTCTTTTTTGGGTCACTCTGCCTCGGTGGGAGATGGCCAACGTGTTAAAAAAAAAAACTACTGTACTAGATAAAAATTCAATGTTTAAAGAAAAAAAATCATTACCAAAGACAATGAAATGTAATTAGGGTATTTTGGGTTGCTGAATTCGAAAATGCCAGTAGGTTTTTCAAATTGCACAAGTTTGTGAGATATTGCATGCCTACCCTCAATTAACAGGGAACTTTGACATAACACATGTATATGTATTGACAGTTTGTATATACAGATAGTTTTAATAAAGATTAGAATTTTTTTTTTAAATTGTTTAATATTTAACAAAAGGGGTTGTATCAACAGTGACCATGAGACAATGTAGTAACGTTTATTTTGTCATTTTTTCCAGATAAACATGAGTTCTTCATGAAGAGCCTGCTTAAACAATCCCAGTACATTTTACTACATTTGTAGCAAATACTCTTTGCAAAATTAAAGACAAAACATCACAGATTTTTTGTAAAACAAGCTTATCTTGCTTATTTTGGAGTGGCACTTGGAGAACAAGAAAAGTCTTTGGCCTCCCCCATATGGTTTGCAAAACCCATGTAGAATGCCTACGACAGTGGGAAAATAGGCAGAGGAAATGTTTAACCCTTTCAGGGTTGGTGCCGTACTAGTACGCATAAATTCTAGCAGCTTCAAATTAAGTGGGGAAACAGCTGGTAGGCCTAGATGTGAGAGAATGGGTTTGTGTGGTAGAAAAAAATTCTGGGACCCAGTGGTGCATTGTGGGAATGGCATTTTAGTAGACCTTGTTCACTATGCCTCGTGGTAAGAAGCTCCTCACTCCTCGGCGAAATGGGACACTTTTGTTGCCCAGTGACAGTTCTAATACAGATGTAAGTGCCAGTGAAGGGGAGTTTCAAGGTTTTGGTGAGGTTGTGACCGAAACTAATAAACATAATACCGGTAATAGTGAGGAAAACCCAGACGACCCTCAGCCTTCCACCTCTGCTGCTGGGCCGTCTTGTTCACATTCATTTGTACCAGAATCAAAGAGGAAACTCCTATTTTCCCAAATCTCGGACTCAGATGTGAGCATTGGTGATGAGAGTGAATGTGAATATGAACTACAAGCTCTTGAAAACAGTTCCAGTAGTGAAAGTGGAGTATTCTCCAGTGAAGCGTCAGTATATACGACGATATATGCGCTCTGGTAGTGTGCCATATGCTATTTCAAGGGGAAGGAGTACATCTCAGAGTACATCCCGTGGCTGTACAACAGGAACAGACAGTGAAAATAAAGATGATAGTGTTGCAATTGGGATGGAAAATGTGCATGGTGGTGGTAGTGGCGGTGCTGGCCGTGAGGCACCAGCAGTGGGCCATGGTGCCACCCACGCTGCTGCCTCAGCTGATCTACAACAAAGGCCACCATCCCCACCACCCACCCCACCAGCCTCCACAACCACAACCACCTGTCAATGTCCAGTACCCACCAGCAGACCACACCTGGGATTGGCAGGAAGCTGCCAATTTTGTTCCCAATCCCCATCGCTTTGATGAAAGTCAAAGTGGAATACAGCCATCTTGTACACTTTGGAACAATGCCAGTGAACTGGAATGTTGTGAGTTATTCTTTGACGAGCCCCTGATGGAAATTGTCAGGGAAAGCAACAGATGCTACGAGTACACCATGGCAAACGCAATACTTCACCAAACTCACGCCTACACCAGTGGAAGGAGACAACTATGGCTGAGATGTATCTTTTGTTTGCCACAATAATGCTTATGCCACATGTGTATAAGCACAGTGTGAAATCATACTGGTCAACAGACCTGATTGCAACCCCAGGTTTCAGTGATATAATGGGAGTGAATCGATCTGTGCTACTATTACGTATGCTTCACTTCTCAGACAAAACCAGGCCTGACAGAAATGACAGGTTATATAAGATTAGGAATGTGTTCATGTATCTGAAACAGAAATTCAGTATGTATTTTTATCCTTTCAGGAAGCTTGTTATTGATGAGTCTTTAATTCTGTTCAAAGGAAGACTCTCATTCAAGCAATACATACCAAGCAAGAGGAAATGCTTTGGTATAAAATTGTTTGTGCTTTGTGATTGTTACAGTTGTCTTGTATTGGATATAATTGTGTACACGAAGTAATACATTGCGAGATACCAGGAAATTACTGAGTATCTCCGGTGATGTGGTTAGAACAATGATGGAACCATATCTTGGTAAGGGACATATTTTATGTACTGACAACTGTTACACAAGCCCCTTACTCTGTGATTTCTTGCGAGTGAACATGACAGATGTATGTGGTACAGTGCGTGCAAATCGTAAACATATGCCCAGGTTCGACGCTGGCACTCGTGGAGGTGAAGTGCAGGCCTTTGCTGCCAATGACATCATGGCATTTCGGTGGCATAACAAACGAGATGTCACACTGTTGTCATCAGTTCACCCTAATGAAATGGCAGGCAGCATAGAGAAAGCAATGAACCCATTCTAAAACCTGCAGCTGTGATTGACTACACCCTCAATATGCATTCAGTAGACAAATGTGACATGCAGATTGGGTTTGCTGATTGTGTTCGCAAGAGTTATAAGTGGTACATAAAACTTTTTCCATATTCTACAGCACCTGCAATAGAAAACCGCCCACGAAATTATCAACAACTACCTTCTCGTCTGAAGCATGGTGATCACTTTCTAACAAAACTGCCTGCTATTGCTTTCAAGAAAAAGGCTCAGAAGAGGTGTTTCGTCTGTGCACATACAAAAAAAAAAAACACTCGCAACAACAGAGACACTTGTTTTATGTGTGAGGAGTGTAAAACACCATTGTGCATAACACCATGTTTCAAAGACTTCCACAGGCTGTAGAACTTCTAAAAACGTGTCCTGTAACTGTATATGTGTATATAAAATACAGAAAAATAGTAATAAACAACATTTTGTATTGTTCATTTGTGTAAATATGTTTTGTAAACAAAACAGTGACATCAGTGTTTATGCAGTTATTGTGTAGTATAGAAAAAGAAATAACTTACAAAATAGTGCTCATATTGGTCTTACAGGCCATAAAAGTTACTTTGAAAAAAAAAATAATAGAAAATAGTACCTAAAAAAGTAAATAAAGTAATACCGGGTGACCGGCAGTCGGTGATGTTACTGTATGTTGGTCATTTTCTGTCAACTTCACGCCTCCATATCTCGGTAAGTATTGATGGTAAAAAAAATTTGTTTAGCCTATATTTTTTTTTTTTTTTTTCGAATTTTTTTCGAATTTTTACCAACCCTGAGAACAGGTTTGGGAGAGCGCCTGCCGACCCTGAAAGGGTTAAACTTTCGGTATGCCTGTGGTATGGAGAGAGCAAAAAAACCACCATGACAATCGTTATTTCCGTATGGTGACTGTGAGAGGTTTCAATCAATACAAGAAAGTCAAGTGGGAA